CCCTACATTATACTAAGTACAGAGTTGAAACAACCAAACCAGCAATTGGTAAGGACCTGATCCTGCCTCCACTGAACCACTTGGCCAGGATCCTCCTGGCTACTATGGAGCATGGGATTGCATCTGTACAGCAAGACCTGCAAAACCTCTACAACTCACAATAGTACCTGCTGGGGGCCCAATCCTGCAAACATTTGTCCAGGATCAGTAGTTTCAGCAGAGTCCAAACAGATCCCTCAAAACACGACTGCCCTGGCAATAGTAAGAGTCTCAGCATCTAATGCCTACTCTTAAACGTTAAAAGAACAACTACTTTGGTTCCTCCCATCATGCTTGAGCGAACAGTGCCATAAATTCTTCAAAAAACAGTAATTAGAAACATTAGCCTTTGTGGATCTAAGTGACCAACTATCTGAGTGACAAAGGGCTTTTAAATTAAATGATATAATCAATCTGAAACATGACCAAGAAAGCTTATATGATTAAATCAGACATCAGTGCTATTAACGCTATTAATTAATATTCATGCCATTTAGCACCAGAAAAATGTGCATTTTCAGATTTATTTGTTAATAGGAAATAATTCCCACCAACATGATGAGGAATAAAATATGGTAACATTTCCTGATCACCCGAGAACCTCACCCTCTGAAAGCCAAAACCTGAGCATCTGTACACACATAAGGCAAACGTATGAAGAGCTTCAACAGAAATTTTAGTTGGTTTTGCATACTTGGCACAATTTGTTTTTTTCAAAATGCACTGGAATGAAGGAATCTGAAGGAGAGTTAAACACTGCCTTCTGCTAATTTATATAGCATCAATGTTTTCTTCCAACAGCCAAGCTTCCTATGGCTTGCATCCTATGGGGTTTTTACCTTAAAGCCACCATACCTGTATCTTTTGTTATCCACTGGCACAATATCCATAGCAATGTAATACTGCTGATGCGGGTCTAAACCTGAGATCTTCACTCTCATTGCGGGAAACATCCGCCTGAACATGGAAAGAGAGAGGTCATTTTTAATATGAAACAGACTGGGGAATGGTTGTTTAGGAAAAGTCACCGGTTCGTGGGATTTTTCGCGTTCTTCCTTTTAGCCTACGGAGTCCTTTTGGACGATTATGGTTACACAGCCATGAAATGGCCCATTCGATATGTCAAAACAGATTTCTAAAGTGCATTTACTCGAACAATGCTTCGTATGTTTTGGGATACGCTTTGGGACTACAGCTATTACCACATCATTTCGACTTTATTGTTAGACAGTAAATCATTTGGTCCTGAGGCTTTACTTGAGCAACACACGCATTTAAAGCCGATCCTAGCTAGAAACGCATTTCTGGAGATGTGCGATCCTCCACCCGGGAAGACCGATACTCACAGAAATGCAAACTGCCCCGGCAGTTTTCAACTGACAGCAGCAAATGGTGGCATCGTTTCCGCAGCAGCAAACGAGAAAGCGAAATCCGCGGCGATGCAATTGTAACTCCGCGAGGATGCAGTGATAAAAGCCGACGTGCCACGCTGTAACCCAACAATGTGGTCTTTATTGAGACGGGACTTCCTGTCTGCAACTTACTAAAGGTGAAGTGCAAGAGCTACTCTGCCTTTGAAAGGTATAGTAAAACTTCTTTATTGAAAGCAGAAAGGAATCTACGAGGTAATTTCTTAAAAAAAAAAAAAAAAGCAAGCGTTCACGATTTAGATCCTTCTGGTGAGAAAACGGACTATTAACCTATGGGTGGTTTAAACTTAAAAATGAGTTTCTTAGCTCACGTTTGGCACGCCTCTTGTCAAGAATTCTCATTCTTGAAGCCAGAAAAAAAATAATAATGATAATAAAGGAAAAGTCCTACAGGCGAGCTGACTGCAAGCTAATGAAAGGTACATTTCGGTATTCTATAAACCCGAACGCCATTCCAGTTTATTCAGTATTTGCTGCTGTTCTTATATATATATAAAAATCAGCTCAAAGTCGTTACTGGAAAGAAAAATCCCATCTCTGTTATTTCTGAACAAGCAGGAGGGTAAACCTGACCGCGGTTAACTACTTTTCGCTGTTCTGTCAGTGCACCTGTAAGATAAAACAGAAAAAATCCCCGACCGGACTCCCTTTAAGACAAATGTTGCTTTGTGCCGTTTAAGACTGCGTTTCAATCATTAATAAAGTCCCTCTGAAAATGTAGAAGGCAGCATATGGATTCAATAAAATATGTTTTTGTAATTTCTAATAAGTTCAGATACTTTCATACTACCCAGGTTTTTACCATGTGTCTCTGCTGGAAGGGGGGAAAAGTTTCCCCCGAGGAGGAC